TTTTTTCAAAGTTTCTAATTAATTATTAGAGAATAAAATACAAATTCAAAATAGATTTTTAACGGGTGATTTGTCTAGAAATAAAATTAGTTTTAAATTATTTTTAATTTTTTCTTCACTGCCCCGCCAACCAATTCAGGGCGGGTTTTTTTGCCCCATTCGAGGCCAAGCCCGTCGGGGCGTGGAGAATTTTTGTGCCATCCCTTGTCCCCAATTTATTATTTATTTCTTATCTTGTGTATATTTTTTGATAAATTTAGTTATTTGATTCAATTTTATAATAAAATTTGTGTAGCAACTTTTATGTTGCTTTTATTTAAGCTTACCGAATGGGGGTATACATGGACTAGAAAACTAGAAAATGAATAGCAATATAGCATATTAGAAATAATGCACATTTCAGCATTTTGCGCTCTGCCTCAGCTTGAGAGGCAAGAAAGACAACATGTAGCACCGCTATACCATAGACAAACTGTATTAGACTCCTGCGAATCTTATCTCAAGTTACAGTTTTCACTCAAGGTTCCTTTAAAGAAAAAAAGGTAGAAAACGAGAAAAATTGTCACGGTTCTTCCACTCACGGTATTATAGGCTCTGATCGTCTTCTCTTGGGCTCGTTTTTGCCCAGTTGCAAGCAAAATTGAATGTCTTCATCAGAAGCATTCCTCAATATAGAGAGATTGCCAGACATCAGTCTTTCTTGTTGATCATCTCGATGAATTATGGATTCCCCATTAAAGCTTGGTATGAACTGATGTTCAACATTTGGACCTGGGTTTACCCCTTCTTCCAAATCAAATGTTGTTTCCACTGGCGATGAGTTTATATCCGGACCACCTGCACCATCTTCCAAGGGGATATGTTGTATATGAAGACCCAATGGCTCGGATACATCCTTTGGAAGCATTACGTCTGGAGGTGAGGAGTCCCCAGTGTTAGAGCCAACTACCGTCATGGAAGCAGTTCTCTGTTCTTGAACTGCAACTATAACAATTCCACAAATATAAATACAATCAAGATGCTCTCTGTATCCATTATGACAATTTTATCTGGAATTGTACTACAGCAAGATGCTGTGTAAAGTGAATGTTTGGTATACAGTTTCAGACCAATAATAGACATGATTTAGCTTCTTTTTCTTTCTTAATATTGTGAATTTTACAGTCTAATTGCTTCGCATATCATAAAAGCACAAGCCAAACACGTAGATGCAAAATAAAATCTCACAATTCGGGCAAAAGATATCCAAGGATCTACATTAATCTACATACCTTTCAGAGCTTCATTTGTGGTGATCAGATCGAGTTCAAGGAAATTGAGTAGCCGCCCAAGATCAACTCCACTGGTCCAGTTCTCTGGAGGCTGGCCAACTTTTAATTTAAGCCGGCCCCTATTTGCAGTCCCACCCCAGATTATCCCAACTGGACGTGGCTTTTCTCCATTTTCACCCGTCAAAACGATAAGACTTCCACTATCTCCTTCAAGGTCAAAAGTTTGTTTGTTCTTGCCGACAACAAGAAAATCAGTCAAGAAGCATACCCCTTTTTCATCATTGTACTCGAGAGCATATGCCAATACAGTTCCTGTGGTCAAACCAGAACTTCTTCCAACTTTCATTACTTGCTTTCCAATGAGATTGTCAATTGGAGATTGCAAGTCAATAATTTTAACATTTCCAATCTCTCCTATCCCTTTGGCGGATGTAGTTACAGCAGTCATGTCAAAATCATCAGTGAAAGGGATAAAGGCACCATCTGCTCTCACAAAGGTCTCTGCAAGTGAAAAGAAATATTACGATATTGCAGTCACTCCATCAACAAAACATTTAGCTAATTAGGCTCTCAACTGGTAAGGACATGTATCGGGGAAGACATTAGAGAGGGAGAAACGAGGCAAAATGGTAAAAAACAACATTTTATTATCTATATTGTCGAATATTGGATTAACACATATAGGAAATGCTGCATCTAGTTCAACAATTCACCAAGAGAATGCCGAAATCTGGCACTACCTACTTCTTGATCATAAACCCAAATATACTGAAAACAACCGACCTGGATTTATGCCAGCAAATATTCCATACCAGAGGTCATCTCTGATGAATGAAGTTGCTCTTTCAACTGCACCAAGATAAACACCAGGACCAAGTGTTGGCGGTAAAGGATGAAACATCTTTTGATTCGGATAATCTAAATCAACAGCAACATGTCGATTTGTCAGGAAACCAACTTGTCTATTGCCCGTTTGGCTCCTCACGATAGCACCCAAGGTCCCGTAATTTTCTTGGTTTGCAACCTGACATTTGCAGGTAGAATGCAGTGATACTGTAAAGAATTATCTGGTGGAAGGTAATAAGTAATTCCTAAAAAATTCCTAAAAGAAATGCTTGGGTGTGATCATTTGTTTATAGTATGATCATGCTATGGCCACTTTACAATAATGTGTCTTTGCCAATTTAAAAAGAAAACCTACTTTAATTGCCTTCTTAGTAGATACTGTAAAGAGGTTAAATTTTCTGGGTAAAATGAGTTCTAGAGTGGACAGTTTGAAGATGACCATAAATGTGCACAGATTTGCTAATGCAGTCAGAGGAAGATGACTCTGAACATATGCAGATTCAAGATCGGGGTCCTTTCTGGATAAAAGCAACGCGAAGCATATTCTAACATAATATATGAATCCTACAGCCCAAATGTTGCAATGAAAAAATTTCAGGCAAGTAGTTCGATCAGCAAAATTCCCCATTTCCCAGTGGCAAGTACTCATTTCTGTTCCACGTGCGAAATCGACATGCGGTTCATTTGAAATGTAAATATAAGAAAATGACTCCAGATATTGGATTCCGATGTCCTAACATATTCCTACGTCCTAACACATTCAAATTAGAGAGACTTTTTCTGACACATCATATTTTGGCACAGATCTGACCAAGGATATTGAAAAGCGTATAGATTATATTTTGAACTCTTATCAATTTGAGAGAAGTGCAGATGAATTCGAAAATTGTAAAATATACAAAGGCCATATTTGGATGAAAATTTTTGCCGACGAGATATTGCGGAGTTATGGTTTAACTCGGACAAGAAGAACCCCATGTATCGAACTAAGAGAAGCACATCATAAACTAGCAGCATCGTAGAAGTGGAAGGTTGTGACACATTTTCAGAATACCTGAGAACCTGAACCAATAAATAGATCACTCCCACGGAGGTCATCAACAATCTCAGTGTATAATTGTTCCTTGGGCGCTGGCTCTGGAGCACCAAAATATGAAAATTCCACTACATCCACATCACACCACACCCCTCCTGGTCCCTGAAGATGTACATGGCATTTCAACTTTAAAGCAGAATACAGGAAGAATCAGAACTCAGACAGAAAAAAATATTTGAAAGTTAAACGTGACATACCCCCTCATGGGTGGGGGCACTTACAGTTAGTGTCTGGCATGTATATCTATGACATGGATAAGACAAGTGTATTATCAAAAAATAAGAGAATAGGATAGAGAGTAAACAAGGGAGACAATATTTCAGAATTAACCCTCCGTTACTCGAGCTGTTTTACCAGAAAGGAATAAAAACTTTGTAGAAATGGAGGACAGATATTGGAAACCATGAGCATCTCAGTTGTTAGTTGTTACCTCCAAAGCAGTTGGTAGGCATTGCATTGGACTAAGCCACTGCCTGTGGACTTTCCGTGATACAAACACCAGTATTGCTGGTGTATTCGTCAAAACGCCACGTCGAATTCGGAAACCAATTGCTGTGCCAAGACTGTAACAACGCAAGATCTTGCTGTGAAATGCTCTAATAGTCATGAGCTCAAGCAATGTATTGGCACGCAGACCTTCTGGAAATTGGCCATCAAGTGACTCAAGTAAAACCCCTTTCTGTAGGTTAGCAAAGTAATTTGCCCTCTCTTCAGCATTATCTTTTATTCGACAAGGCCATGAAAAGTATGCAGCACTGTTCTCACCATGTTGTCCAGCAGAAGCATGGGGTTGAAGTGATGGTGGACTAATTGAAGGCAGACAAGAGTGACTGCAAAAGTATTTTTCAAGGTCCATAGCTGATTCCTCAGATTGTGTTGAGCCCAAGCAATGAGTTCTCGAATTCAATTTTGCTTGATCCATCAAGTAGTTGCTGTAGAGATACTTAATATCAACTATCAACTTCCTGCATGACATGAAACCCCAAAGGTTTCCTCAAAAACACCATATCCAGTTAGTTTTCTTTCTGACATAATCACCTGTGATATTTGGTGCAGAAGTAAAATATGAGCAGAACTATTAGCATATTCTTGTAAATACTAACAAGCAGCTCACATGTTTTCTACATTAGCAAAGCAGCACATATTTTTGCAGTGAATGTCTCTAAAAGTTCAGATAGAGAATACTTGATACATGTTTGATCCCCCATTATATCCAAAATGTATTTTTATCTCTCTCTTCTTTTCCACCACACATTCTCCAATAAAATACTATTACACACAAGTCCATAACTTTTACTTATTTTTCAACCACACATTCTCCATCAATCTACAATTCCAAAATGCATTTTTAGCCAAAAAAGGGACTCAAACTTACAATTAGTATTACAATAGCAATATACTATTTAAATAAACTTCAAAATGCAAAAGGAGTCGTACGACCATTGAGCATTAAAGTGAAGTGTGCACATGTTGAGTATCTCACCAAACCCAAAATTAGTGAAAGAGTTAAGTAAGCTATATCACTTGCAACAGAAAAATGAGAAAAAAAAATGAAAATAGCTCCATGCGCTATCTTAAACAGAGGGTGAAACACAAAACAGTAGCATAAGCACCATTGTCTTATGGTATCCAACTGTATTCTGCTTTAGCATTGGCCTTGACCTAGCGTAACAATTTCAACCAGCAGAAAACTCAATCATGAAAACCCTACTCAGCAAATCAAACAATAAGCTCCAAAGTATTGCTACAGGAATCAATATCATTTCAAATCAGAAACTCTGATGCGCTCTTAACAAGAAAAAAAAGTAATGTCAGCTTAAATGATATAAGTAAAGAATTTATAAAAAGATAATTAAGATGGAACTGATGCATATAATATATCACATTAAACCGTGTGAATACCTTTACTACTAATATGCCACAGTCAGGTAGGTACCACATTTATCTTTTCAATTAAAGATGAAAAGAAGTGATCTTGCAAAAGAATGTGAAACTCGAATATGTGGCATTACCCCAAACCACAACCTAAACACCCAAAAAAAAAAGAAAGAAAGAAAGAAATCTACAAACAAATACTTGCACAGAGCTTGGTAGACCCCAGAAAACAAATATATTCCTGTAATCATATAAATATTAGTACAATTTGGAGAATAGTGCTGCTTATGTCTTAATGAATGAAATATAAAACACGACCCACTTATCAAAATCATTCTCTAAACAATAGCAGAAGTGATGTAGTTGAAGAAAGATATAATTTTTATATGAAATCAAGTTTCAGTCTATTAACAGTTCTACAAAATAAGATATCAAAAATTAAATAAATATATGTACTATTAAAGGATGATTACTAGCTAAACAGTTCCCACAAGAAAAAAATAAAATCAAAAAGTGAAAATAAAAATAGTAGTTTCAAAATCAAGAGCTTACCTCACAAGCACCTGGCAAAATCGGTGAAGTCCTGGAGTATATAAAAAACCCAACTCATTTGTGGCCTATGCCTAGCAGGAGTTCACATCGTAATTCCATATAAATGAGGAAAGCAAAAGATTTTATGATTATTTTTGCTTTTTCAGGAGTGCTTTTTAAGTGGGGGTGTATTCGAGGAGTGGGGGTAGAGAAGAGAGAACTCAGAGTTGTCTCCAGTCCCCTTCCTCCAATTATTTGCAGTTCCTAAATGAGCAAAAATATTGACAACGCTTTTGCTTGGAAGCATTTGCGATTTTGTTTTGCTCATGAAGCTAATCATTAAAGTTAAACATTACAGGCCACATAAAATAATTAATGTTATAGAGGGTGTTTGGGATCCATTTTTATGTAAAAATGCATTTTGAAATCGTAAATTGATAGGAAATATGTGGTTGAAAAATAAGGATAAATTTTTGATTGACGTGTAATATTATTTTAATGAAGAATGTGTGATTGAAAAGAAAAGAGAAAAAAATGCATTTTGAAAAAAATTGGTACAAAATGGGGCCATAACACTTTTGCTTACGACAATGTTTAGTAAGCATGTTGGTTATTAAAACTAGTTGATTAGCCGTATAATTATAACTAGCATAATCTATCATGCCCACAAATTTTTTTTTTATTTTTTTATTTTTTATTTTTTTTGAATTACTGAGAAGGGATTCTATGGACGGAAATTTTATATTATTAATTTTAAATTTAGATTTATCTTCATAGGATTGCAAGTGACTATATTTAATTAATCATTAATTAAAAAAAGGATTCACAATTGTTATAAGTTCATCCTACTCTGTATCTATTTTTATTAAAAATTTTAAGAATTAGTATTTTCGTCCATATCACGTTCTAATTTTATCATTATTAAAAATTCATTCATTTTAAAATTATACATCCACACTATTTTTTTTATATCTTCCGCATCATAATTCCTTCAATCCTTTCATATATCTATCTACACCATTTTTTATATATTTAAACATCAACACTATTTTTATACATCTACCACATCGTAGTTCCTTTATGATCCTTTCATATTTTCAATCATTGCCATTAATATGCGAACGCACCGTCAAATTTCTTTACTTCTTTTAATAATCCTAGCAAATTAGCAACTATTGTCTTGAATTTAAGAAAATCAAGAAAAAAAAATGATGATCCCAGTAAAAAACTCGAATTCTTATTTTGATAAACCTATCAGAAAAGATATTCATCGATGTTTTCAAATTAAGAACTCAAGAAAAGAAAAGATAATCCAACAGAAAACTCAAATAGTTCTAAATGAAATTTCTTAGTGATGCTACTTGAACTCAAAAGGCACATTATCAAATAAACAAAATTAACAGTTCTTCACATACTAAATTCGTCAAACCCACAATAAAAGGTATTTTTACTTTTTAAAACTATTCTTCACATATTTCTATATTTGTATGCATTTGCTCAAATGATATTTCCTCTACTGTTGTCTTGACTTTAGTTAAAGAAGAATTTAATGAAAATAAATATTAGTGATAAATTTAGATTGAAAAATAAACAGTGTGTCACCTAAGCAGTGTGTGACATGAGACACTACAATAGGTGCTAAAAAATAATGATTAATTTAAAATTAATTACATTACCTATTGTAGTGTGTCATGTTACACGGTGGTTAGTATAAATTAAGCACCGATACTTAAGAAATCAAATTCGTGTATATAAAAAATAGTGCTAGTCATGGTGAGGACTACATGTAGTTATTATATGTGACATACACATGAAAATTTGTTATTTGATGTATTAATATAATAGTTTTTTATTGCCTCGTGTATCAACTATTAAATTGTCACATATGACGACTACTTGTAGAATTGCTCTTGAGAAAATTAAGTCTATTTTTGTATAATATACATTATTCTGCATGATAGAATAGTTTTGATAAGAAACATTTTCAACATAAATTTGTGCTATCTAGTGGATGACAGATATTGTAACATAAAATAAAGAATATTACTATCTGATGAATGAATTTTGTTGCACATAAATACCCATTTTTATCTTTCTTTGCGCTCATCCTTAAATAGCATTTGTATAATGAGCACTCAAATCATCATAAATAACCCTGAAGCTTATACAGCATCCATGGAGGCTAAAATATCACATGTGGAAGGCCATAAATATAACTGAACCGAACCAAGCACACACCATCTGGAATGGCCGAACTATTGAAGAACAGAAAGCACCCAAAGTCTCATTATGTGGTGTACAAATTTATTTTGATGAGCTGCCTCGTTTTTCAATATGTTTAGATTTCTTAAATATGACATTTTAAAATCATTAAATCGTTGTACATTGGCAAATAGATCATACGATGACCATCAGTTTCTTTATACTCGAAAGAGTTATGTACGTTTCTTACTAGATACATGAAGACGATGTGTAAGTCATTTGTTGATTATCTACCATTACATGCAAATATATTAAAGTGGAGTACGTTTTTGGCTATTATTTTGATTCAATGCCGATTTTAAAAAGACATATTTTAGAAATCTAAACACATGTAAAATGAGTTTAGATCCATGAAATAGATTGGTACACCACAGGCTGAGACTCCATATGCTATGTATGTTGTTCAATAAGAAAGTGCAAATCGTAAGTGCAGGATCACGTTCAAATAATGAAGTGAATTTTTTGAGTCCAAGTTGTTGATCCCTCGAGTAATGTTTACTCTTAATTATACAACTTTAATCAATTTAATTTTAACAATAAAAACGAACATACGGTAAAATTATGATTTTGAAAAATAAGAAAAATAACTAAAATTCTACAAAATAAGAAAATAAAAACACTCAAAAATTTCATAGGAAAATGTAGTTGGGATTTATGGTTTCTCTTAATCGTCGCCTAATTAATTTTTTCACAAACCAATTAACAAATTACTCATTTATGTTATCAAGACTCGATTTTTCAAGTTTAGCTAATTATATCTTTCGAGGGAAATTAATCCTAATTTATTAGTTTAACCAACTATATTTCTATGTCGATTAAAAACAAATCGCAAATGCTTGGACCATGTAAAGATACTAATTAATGACATGATTATGGTTAGTAGACAGTATACTGCCAATGCCAAGATATCCAATTCCTAGATGGTAGATTCCAACTGGATGGACGTAAACCTTATCTATTTTCACTTGCATTCAACTTAAACAAGGAATAAAATATTCATTCTCGACAACTTCTACAGTATTAGAGAAAATGAGATATGTTTGTTCGTGAGATACCCGCAAGCGTACGAGATCCATGATAAGTAATAGATTTAGTGAGTTAGAGTATCGTCCCACGAGAAATAAAATTTAATTGAGTGTACTAGTCCTTAATTAGATTCAAAGTGAACAAATTAAAAGTGATTTTTGTGATTTTTAATTACTTTAATTTAATTTACGAAAACGTATAAAATGCGAATTTAAAATGTATATGGGAAGGGTGTATTGGATTACGAATCCACCTATTATTATCTATTCCAATTCTCGACTACGTAGCTAATTTTGCTCTTGCATTCTTGACAATCGATAATTCTATTGTAATTAATCTTCTTTTCCAAGACAAGTTAAATCTATTATATTCATGACCCGATCCTATTTCTAGTTCGAATTCATATGAATAGAACGCATTCAATTTCGTAATTATTTTAAAAATTGCATACGTGATAAATCTTATTCCTAAAATTTATTGTACGTATGTTAATCATGCAATGTTCTAAACCTATTGTGAACCTCCCAGTACTACAACAAGGAACTATATATTTAATTGGTGATCATGCAATCAAATAATAAAATTAAGCATGCAAGATTAATCAACAATTGCAAGAATTTAACTAAACCACGTGTCTTGAATTAAAAATAAGTAATAACGGGTTTCATTTTCATCCAATACATAAGAAAAATTAGCCTAGCATAATGTTAAAATTAAACACATAAAATTGAAAAGACATCACCGAGAAATTGGCGAAACATGATTAATTCCACAAATTTGCTCGACTTTTGTGCATGCGTATTGATTTCTTCAAGGCAGTCATCCCCTTGTACGTGTGTCTAATTCCCAGTTGGTGTGTATGTATGTAATTCCAACCAAAACTCTCCTCCTGCCCAATTGTCGTTTATTGATGCGTGTGTATATATATAAAAATCAACCCACTTCTTCCTTGATTTCTTTTTGTCGGCTACCAACAATTGTATGTGATTCTATTTATAAGTAAGTTCCCAGCAGCAGGCCAGCCTTCTGCTTTCTTCTCTGGCAGCCGATGTTTGACTCCCAAAAAGAATTCCAATTGTTTTACAATTCTCACCCAATTGGCAGCCAGCTTTTTCTCCTCTTCCAGCCATCTCTTCCTATGGTTTCTCTCTCTCTCTCTCTCTTCTCTCTTCTCTCTTTTTATTATTATTTATTATTATTATTTTTATCTGTGTATCCCTCAATAATCCTCCCAGGTTGCCATTTTTCCTCTTCTCTCCATTTTTTTTTTCCCTGGCGGCCAATTCGTATGTATATATATCTTTGTATCAATCCCCCATGCTGCCCTTTTTTTTTGCCCAACTAAATATCCATTCAGTATTCAATTTGGTGACAACTAAAAGCCCACATTTAAGCCCAATTAGTTGGAATTTATCTTTCAAGGGCTCAATCCATTATAAGTAATGCAACTTAGTCCTTTTCTTCATTATTCCACAACCTTTGATCCTCCAACTTTTATTCAAGTGAGTTTTGGTCCAAAACTTCTATTTAATCGTCAATCTATCATTTTCTTTTCCAATTGCTTCAAAACGGGCGGAACACTGAAACAAACACAAATTAATATAAACTAAATAAAATTTAGTAATTTGACGAAGTAAAAGTTTAATAATACGGTCTAAATAAGTGCACAAATTGCACTTATCATAGGGATCTTCAAATGAAAGACTTTTTTTTTTTTTTTCACCCTTGGATAATTCCAATGGAAATTCTCAAAAGTAAACAAAAAGTTCCATTTGTTCATATCTGAAACTATGAACAGCTCAAATGCCAAGAAGTTTGCCCTCCTTGAACAAAGATAATGAGAATCTGCTGTCTTGTAATGTCAATGATTGTAGGGTGTGTTTGATAGCACACCATTTTTCCTGGAGAATGGAAATTCAATATTATTTTCTAATTTTTTTAGTGTTTGATAGGTGAAATTTTCCATAAAAAATGAGTTCCACCTTTCTTGGCCATAACAGCATTTTCCATCAAATCCTTGAATTCCAATTCCCACCAAAATGGTGAGAATTGGAATTCTCGGTTAATGTAGCATTTTTTTAATTTTATTTTCCTTTTTTTTGACAATGGAAATAAATTCTAAGAATTATTGTGAAAAAATTTTTCCCTTTAACTGACAATTTCCATAGAAAACAAAGTCAAACGAACACCAAAAGTAGATGATTTTTTGAATTATTATTATTATTATTTTGTTGGCAATGGAAACAAATTTCATACCCAATACCAGTAAATTCTATCCCTTTAATTGACAATTATCATGTAAAATAAAGCCAAACGAACAAAAAAAACACTTTTATTTCAACATGTAAAAAATTATACCAATAAAACATAATAATTTACAATTCCCAGGAAAACAATTTTTAGGCAATTCAATTCCATGGAATTCGTTTTCAATCGATTTCAATATCATTTTTACAATCAAACGGACCCTTAAGTTTTAAATCAAAATAATTATTAATTTCAGGATTATTTGTTCTTGTTGAAACTGCTTCATATATAGGAATGTAATCATGCGCACTGTGTCTGCTCGAATGAATTTTTTTATTATTGTGATTTTTTATTGTATTCCTAGGTAATTACATCCGCTTAATTAAGACTTATTTAAATTCTCGTGGCGATTAATGAGTTGACTTAGTTAAACATGATTGTTTGAATTCGAGAGAGGTAAATTGATTTAATTAGTGAATTCGACCGAGTACAATTTTAGGAATTGAACTAGAAAGGTCGGATTAAAGATGATAACTAAACAGAAATCATAAGTCCCAATGCTTCAATCATCGTATTTGAGCATTTAATTGAAGTTATCCACAATTCAAAGAAAACGCTTTCGTTTAATTTCTTTTACTTTTTCTAGATAATATCATTTTAAATCAAAAACTTAGCCCTAAATTCTGTTCTCATCAAATAAGGGGTGAGATTATTTAAATTGATATTTGAATAAAATAATTTCAATGTAATGATAATCTAGATTGTGTTAGGTCAATTTCACTAGTTTAATTGACACCTATACTTGCAATTTATAACACGAGCTCATAAATGAAAAGATAATAATGACAAGCACGATAAGTATATCAAGTGAGAAAGTCCCCGATAAACCCCTCTTCTTAACAAAACTCAATAATTAGAAATTTTTCGAGAGAGATTCAGTATTTTTAACAGTAAAGATCACCGTGTTTGCTTGAATGTTTTTTTATTAATGTGATTTTTTACTATATTCCTAGGTTATTAAATATGCTTAATTAAGACTTATTCAAATTTACTTAGAGATATAATGAGTTGATTTAACTAAATATGATTGATTTGAATTCGAAAAAGATAAAATTGATTTAATTATTGATTCTATTCCAGTATCATTCTAGGAATTGAATTTGAGAGGTGGGATTAAAAATGATAACTACGATAAAATTCGTGATTTCCAACACTTCAATCATCGTAAATGAGCATCTAATCAAAGTTATCCACAATTCAAAGGAAAAAATGGTAACGTACGTGTAACGTTAATCTTAACTTTCTCCTGCAGAGTGATAGGATAATTTTTGATAACGTCATTCGTGAGTACCTTCTAGCAAAATGTCCTTTTATTCCCCACTTTTGACAATCATATTTCTAAGAGACGTCTAGATCCAATATGCCTATTATCATCGTCGGATCCGGTGAAAAATAGAAAATGGATCAATAGTCCAAAGTCGGTGATATGGACTCAAAAGAATATAAAAGAAACGAAAACGACGAAAGCGAGATAAGGAAATGTTCAAATTAATTAGCAATAAAACTACAAAAGAAATAAACAGATATAAATCTCGGAGCGATTGGCATCCAGAATCTTTCAATCTTGAAAGCGGAAACCAGCTTATCCAGGAACACGAGATCTTTGTCTTGAAACTTTTCAAAATCAGCAAACATTGAAACCTTGGCAGACTTTTTTGTCCTCTCCGCATGTCATATTGTTGTAAATAAGCCCATGTTTGGTTAGGATGATAAAAAACCCATTCAATCCAATATCCGTGGATCCCGTTCAAAGTGGGACCGAGGTTACCGACCTAATTGAGTAAATAGGGTGAGAACGGGACAAGGGTCATTGCTTCTAAAGTGGGTATGGGACGGGTACGAGTAACATGATCCCTGCCCCGCTACCCGACCTATTTAGAGTTAATTTCAAATTTAAATTTTTTATCAAACAAAAAAGAAAAAATTTATCATCATTTTTAAAGATTGCTCTTAAGAAATTAAAAGAAGAAGAAGAAGAAGAAGAAGAAGAAGAAAAAGTAATGTTATTCACTAACTAAAGATATAAAAGAAAATAAAAACAAAATATAAAATAAACGGAGCGATAAACAGGGCAAAGTAACAAAAATACTAGATGGGACTGGGGACGGGAATGGCCAACCCGCCCTATTTCCATTCCCATATTTGATGGCCATTAATCTTTAAAAAAAAATGATATTTTGAATAGTGATTTTTTTTTAGAAAATGTGAGTTTAAAAGTAGGAAAAGTTTTAGTTATATATATAAAAAGATTTATTATGTGAATGTGGTTAAAAATGAGTATAAGAATTAAAGAGTTATTTTAAATGAAGACTATCATGGGCTCAATGTTGACCCTCATAAATTGAAAGATAATAATGACAAGCATGACAAGTCTAGCAAGTAGCAAGTGAGAAAGTCCCCGATAAAATTAATATCTATTGCGTAAAGTCCACGTTAGGATTGGAACCGGAGAAAGTATACAATAAATATATTTTTTCTATTTTTACTTTCTAATTTATTTTAACTAAAATTAAGTGTATAATAGTCTTTTCTATAAAGAAATTGACTTAGAAAAGTCAAAATGACATTTACCTTTGTAAACCAAAATATTTGTTTGAGGATGCTCGTGCCAAGAATGAAAGTTTTGGTTTTGGTTTTAGACAAGGAAATTAAGTCAGGGACGATTTGTGTCAATTAACCTAATTTTTCCAATGTTTATGACTCTGGGACCCTTTCTATGATACTACACTGTCCTTTCTTTGGCACTATATATAATCTTTCCGTCCACCTTTTTACTTTGTCTCTGTAATCCACAAATGGCGTACCCCGCTCCACGCCAACCCTAATCAACATTCCACAGTACCACACATATTACACTCTGACACAACTACCACAATTTCTACGACTCATCTCTCTCAATATTATTGGTTATTAATTCGTAGATTCGAATTTAGATGGTTCTATAATTTTCTGCACTCAATTTAAATGTACAGATTCTTCGAAACTCTGAATTTATTGGTTAATCAACTTTTCTAGTTGGTTCTGTCAATAATTTCACCCCTTCATTAGTTTATTTATAGTTTTCCTAATTTCAGGTCTTCTTTCCAAATTCCAGAGATTTATAAAAATCTGGAATTTTGATATTTATTTTTAATTTTTTTTTATATCCTGTTAGGAATATATTGGTTGTTGAATCTTTGTTGTATTGAGGGTTGAGAAGTTTCTGGGTTTGAAAGTATTATTTAAGCTGAGGATAATCAAATGGATAGATTTGGAGATGAGGGCAGAAATGAAGAGTCCGCCAATCTCCAAGATCGTAAACCATTTGGTGCCAATCCAACAGGTTTGCTATATGTACGCGTGTGAAATGATCTTTTATGTATGACAGATTTGCTTCTTGTCAATTCTAAGCTCGTTGACTTTGTTTTCTTATTGTTTCCTTAAGCTCTGCTTATTCTGTCAACTGGGACAAAAGGTTTGCAAATATTCTTAGTGGATCCATTTGGGTTTTTAGCAATAATTAATTACACAACAGTCAGCTCCTCCATTATTATTGATATCTAATGTTTCACTGGATGTAACTTCATTATGAGCAGCTGAGATATGTTATGCTTTTCCATGAAAGGATCTTTTTTTCATTTTAATCAACAGGATATCTTAGCTTTATATATCTTGTATTTCGATCCAGTGCTTGTTTTGTAGGGCTTAAAATTATTTACTTAATAAGTAAGTTAAAATAAATAGATTACATTGTTGGTCGAAGCTGGAATATATTTTGAAAGTATTTTGGAAGTAATCCATACTTCACTGTCCAGATAAGTAACTTTTTTAATCTACAAGAAAGAAAATTAGAATCCATCTAAACATGTTTGGATGCAAAATTTTACTTAAAAACTAATTTTATGTTACTTTTGAGCTTAGCCAAAGATGCTGCTTGTCCCAACTTATAAGTTGATTTTGGCTTCCAAATTTGGTGCATTTACTTATTGCCCAAGTGTTTACAATATGATTCTTATTTTAAACACAGGGATATGTGCTTTATTTCCTATAAATTTGGAAATTATGGCAAAATATAAGATGACTTCACTTTCCAAACTGTGTGCTAGGAATTAAGTGTCGATTATATAATAGCTATTATGAGACGATCCATAGTTCCCTTTTGTGCATGAACTATGATCACATTGCTTAACGAGTTTGAGAAATGATTTTAGAAGTTCGTCAATTTTAACTTAAATCCATTTGGTGAAGCAGGACAAGCTGTATTTGATGCATCACAATATGAATTTTTCGGTAACGATCTAGTTGAGGAAGTTGATCTTGGGGGATTAGAAGATGAAGTGGAGGATCTCCCTGCAGTTGCATTTGATGAAGAGGGATTTCAACTTGACGGAGATGAGGTAGCTTTTTAAGCTTATAAAGTTCAATGGTTTTCTTTTGAAAGAACTTCATTGCTAAGAATTAAAATTTTGCAATTTTGTAACATATTTTCAGGGTAAAGCCATGGAATCTTTATCTGAGATCGATGATCTCGCCAACACATTTTCAAAGGTCAGTCTTTGTTTATACTTAAAATTGTTGGCATAGTTGCATTGATTAAAATCTGTTTTGAATCTCAAATTTTGGCCTTCAACATTTGTTTAATTATTCTCTTTGTGTTCTTTTCTCTCTCTTGGTGGGCATTGTATGTATGACTATACATGGATCTTATTCTTTTTTGGTACGGCGAGATTTGGTTTATACTTCAATGAAAAATATAAAATAAATAAAGAGATTCATTTTTGTATTTAATTTTTTATATTTGAAATTCTGCATTGACTTGGTAATATATGTTATGTCTCATTGTAAAAGAGGATAGAACTTATGCACTTGATAACAGTTCATTTACAGTTCTACAGTGATAAAATGATCTCCAGAACGAAGAGAAACTGGACCGAAGAATTCGCAAATGGAAAATCTAGATACTCGTTATATCCAAGTATAGATTTACTACCATCCTGCTTTTCTCGTGATCATTCCTCTTCTTGATACTCTTAACATCTCAAGTATTGTTGAAAGAAATACAAATTTTCTGAAAACGGATTGTTCTGGATCCAACGTTCAATAATTATGATTTGACTTGGTATCCTAGAACAGTTGTATTCCTGCTGTAATACAAAGAAATTATCCTTGTTTACTCATATTGTATAATATATTTTCTCCATCCAATCAAAACGTCCATAACATAGATAATCAAGCTCCGAAAATGAGACTGGCGACCATGCTCCGAGCTGCCTTCTTGTGGTTCCTGAAGGATCTTCTCCTTTGCTTGTGGATGTTTTGTAAAAGTGAATTTATGTTTGTGCGGTTGTGGTTAAGAGAGAATCATTTTAAAGTATTTGTTCAATTTGCATCACTTCCAAACTGTGTCTTACTTTGATCTATCATCTACTTCCAGAACTGGATTGAGTAAACATCTTACAATTTTGTTGATCCGTAGCTTTTGTTCCTATTATAGACATACCAATGTTTGACTTTTCTGCATAAGTCTACCTTTATGGACTTTTTCTGAATGATACAGTGATTTACAATTGGTAGCAATTTTGTGTCTCTGTAGCCATGACGCCTGATGTGTTTTTCTAATATCTGCCACAAAGAGTTACACTTTTGGATAGATTAATTCTGGTATAATTACTTAGTTCAATTATTGCCTATCTAATGAATGGGCTGATATCTCATCTTTTTCATATACAGTTAAACAAAGTTGTCAGTGGGCCAGGAATTGCAGGAGTTATTGGTTGTTGGGGGTCCAGAGAAAGTGAGTTTGATCGCACTGTACACGCTCTTTGATGTTATTAAGTTCATTTGATTATGTTTGACTGCATATTTCAGTGATACATCGACCTTAATCCTTATGCATAATTTGGTTTCTCTAATATCGTAGTTTCATGGCGGACACTATAATTTCTTGACAGCTGCAATGTGTGTGAACTCAAATGAATCCTTGTAATATAGCTCACATTGGCTTGTTCAAAATGGGCTATACTGTCTTTTTAACTATTTACAAGCCAAACTCGCATGAACTCCTCTCAAGTTGACTTTGCTAGGTTCCATTAATGTTTCTTTTGCTTTTATAATTACACATATACATGCTTGTGTGCACACTTACATACAAAAATCAAATTTATATTAATTTATACATATATAATTATAGCCGTAAATAAATTTCTTCTAACTTATTAGCTGAAATTTTTAATTTTGAATTACCGCATTTCAATTTCAAGGGACTTGAATGAAAAGTTATTAACCTCAACAGCGAGAGTGATAGATTTTTCTTCTCTAAGTATCTTTAATGCAAATGTAAGTGCTGCAAAAGAAAGATATGGAAGGTCCTGCAAGTAAACTGTGGTTATTTACGAACCACTTAGTTCATCTCTGTATTACACAAGTATGGTTACCCCTGTGAATAAATCTTGCAAATCAGAAATTTAATTAGGGAGTATTAGGAAACCATAATCAATATTTGAAGTTGGTGATGAAGTAAATGGCTCAATGTAGCAGACTTGGATTATTATGTTGCATCTTGGAAATCTTAATCTGTATAATATTTAATTATATTTGGACTTTTAGTTATGTTTTTGCGCAAATGAGACATGAAACCTTGATTTCTTCCTTCCCCCGGTGTGTCAAATGTTGTCTCTCTCGGAGTAATGTACTCTGGGTGAATTTCTGCAGTTGCATTTCTCATGGTTGACGAAATCCTCTGTACAGTTTGTATGAATATGCGTGACACAAAGTTTATCTTACATGACATAGTAGACTTTTTGGCCATCCCATATTTTCTCTGAAATGCTACATTTTGTTAGTTTATTTATAATGTATTGCAAAAAAGTTCAATTGTGTTCTAATGTAGTTTAGACTTTTATCATGCCACCTTTAAATGCATGTAAATTTCATGAAACAAATTTGGAATAGTTTATATTTGGTGGAGAAAAATCAAATGTGAGCACGTGACATATGGATCATGTTATCATGTTTCAGGTTCATCTGCTACTGAATGGGCGCAAGAGTCCGATTCTCCCATTTGGTATGATCAGCATGCTTTTGATGCTGCAAGCACCGAGGAAAGCAAAAGATGGTCATCACAGCCATATTCTTCATCTAACCGCTTTATGGAATCGAAATCGTTGTTCAGAACATCTTCACACCCTGAACCACAGCATCAGCTCCCACATCAGCATCTACAGCAACACCTACGCCATCACCATTCTATTGAAGCGAATCTTTTTCCGAAGATGCCGTTCACTTCATATCCTCCCGCTGAAGGCAGTTCACAGCAAGCTTCAGCAAATAGTCAGTCTAGCCACCCTAATCTTGCATATCGCCCGGCTGGGCACCAAATGGCAGCTGCTTCTCCGAATATTTCTTCTTTTTCTAATCCTCAACTTCATATGAATGCCTTACCTCAAGGGTCACTTTATGGGGGAAATTTGCCTCAGGTAACTCATGGTCTTCCAGTTAATAGTCGTCTCCAGAACCAGTGGGGGAACCAACCTAGTTTATATCCTGTCGATCGTCCTGTCCTCCCAAACAATATTTTGCAGCAACAACAGTCACCCCTTCAAAATGGTTTAATGCCTCCACAGCTGCATTCCCAGCAACATAGAGTTCAGCATCCGTTTCACCCATCCTTTGGCCATCTATCGGGGCCGCAGCCTCAACTTCATAATTCTCACATTTCTGCATCACCGCCTATGGTAAGTAACTCTGAGATGCTTGGATTAGCTGATTTGAGAGATCCAAGGGTTATATCAATGCTGAGAAATAGACAGGGTATGCAATACTCTCAACATGGTTATGAATCTGGTAGCCAAAAGAGTGATAGCAGGTGGCCAAAGTTCAAATCCAAGTACATGACAGCAGATGAAATTGAAAACATTGTGAGAATGCAGCTTGCTGCTACTCATAGCAATGATCCTTACATTGATGATTATTACCATCAAGCTTGTTTAGCCAAAAAATCTTCTGGTGCAAAGTTGGAACACCATTTCTGCCCAACTAATCTGCATGATAATTCTTCCAGGACTCGTTCTAACAATGAGCCACATGCTTTTCTCCAGATTGATGCTCTTGGGAGGCTTTCCTTCTCTTCAATACGCAGGCCCCGTCCACTTCTTGAAGTTGATTCCCCAAATTCAACTGGTAGTGGTAATGCTGAACTGTTTGATAAGCCTTTGGAACAGGAGCCTATGCTTGCGGCTAGAGTGACCATTGAGGATGGCATTTACCTCCTCCTTGATGTTGATGATATTGATCGTTTCCTACAATTCAATCAGCTCCAAGATGGTGGGACCCAGTTAAGGCAAAGGAGGCACATCCTGTTAGAAGGGTTGGCATCATCCCTTCAGCTTGTTGATCCTCTCGGGAATAATGGCCACACGGTGGATTTAGCTCCTGAAAATGATCTTGTCTTCTTAAGGTTAGTTTCTCTTCCAAAGGGCAGGAAGTTCCTATTGAGGTATCTTCAACTTCTTTCTCCAAGTGATGAACTCACTCGAGTAGTCTGCATGGCCATCTTTCGTCATTTGAGATTCTTGTTTGGCGGCCTTCATGATGATCCTAGAGCTTCTGAACCAACGATCAACCTTGCAAGAGCCGTGTCATCTTGTGTCCACGGTATGGAGCTTAAAGCTCTTGCTTCCTGCCTTGCATCCGTGGTTTGTTCAGCCGAGCATCCTCCCCTGCGTCCCATTGGAAGCCCCACTAGAGATGGGGCATCAGTTATTCTCAAGTCTGTTCTGGAGAGGGCAACTGAGCTCCTGACAAACCCTCATGCTGCTAACTCCAGCATTTCTAGCAGAGAATTTTGGCAGGCTTCTTTTGATGCATTCTTTGGCCTCCTCACAAAATACTGCTTTAATAAATATGATTCAGTTATGCAATCCTTCCTCGCCCAAGTCTCACCAGACACAGCTACTCTTGGGTCTGATGCAGCCAAAGCCATCAGTAGAGAGATGCCCGTCGAACTCTTACGAGCAAGCCTTCCTCATACCAGTGAGTCTCAGAGAAAACTATTATTGGAATTTGCACAGCGGTCCATGCCCGTGATAGGTCTTGGGGGGCAGGGCGGAGGGAGTGGTGTCTCTTGATATTATCGTAGTGCCCATTTCACGAAGACATGAAGTTGCCGGACACTTCATAGATAAAGACATGATTTCGTCATATTGGTTGGTTTCGGTTTTTTGTTTTACATTTTTCCAAGATAAAGGTAAGTTAGTCCTGGCCAGATGGAGGAAGTTTTAGTAGACCATCGGGGAAATGTGTTTTCTGTAATTTAACTTGGAGCTTATTTTGATGATGCTCTGCTATGTATCCCTGTTTGTAAAGGGGAGTTTAGAGGTTAGAAATGTACAGTTGCAGATAGACTTTGCCTATGTTGTCAAGCTTTTAGGTTTGAAGGTTGTGGGAAAGATGTTTGTTACTATGATACTTGGACAAATGGTTTTATTTCTGTAACATTATTTGTAATTTCTTGTCCTAAGCTTTTCCCTTTGCACATACTCATGAATTCCACCTTTCGTATGGATATTTAAAGTACAGGATTTTCAATCCTAGCAGGAAAGGGAGGGAAACGGATACTTAATTTAAAGTGAGTAAACGAGATTGTATATTCGATCTCAAAGATACATATAGAATTCTGCAAAAAGTTGTATTCGATGAAAGTTGTATGTACGGCTTTGAGAGAGATCTTTCATTTCTTTTGAAAGAATGTCCTAAACTATTAGCAGGAGTAGAAACTGTGGCCATTAAATTACAGCCTTCGACTAATTGAGTCGTGATGTCATTTCTGTTTGAATTTCAAAGCAATAAAAATCTTATGAAAGCCACTACGAAAGAACATTTACAAGGTTGTTAAAGTCTTGCGATTCTATGGTCCTAGATATTAAAACAAGCGTTCAATCTTTCGATTTTATGATTCCAAAATCATAAAACGAGCAAGACCGTGTGGAAAATTGCAAAGGGATGGAATCGTAATTGATCGTTAGGCGACCATGGAAGGATCGATAGGATTTTGTAATGAGACCCACTGAGGATCACAGCGGACCGCCAAGGAATTGTACACTTTATCACCGTTTGAGTCCCATTATTTGATATTATAATATTTAAAATGGTATTTTTCTTTTCAGAATATGTGGTTGAAAAATAAGAAAATATTTTTGATCTATGCATAATATTATTTTATTTAAGAATGTGTTGTTGAAAAAAAAAATGTATTATAAATTTAATGGGGCTTAAGTGGAGGAGGCTTAATACAACTGATATGGGTATAGAATATCATAAAGATGAAGTTAGTCGATGATTTTATTTTATTTTTCTAAACTACTCGATGATTTTTTAATGAAATGAGAACTTAAAAGATGGTAATACAGTTTCCTAGGCGTGCACTACTTATCTTCATAAATATATCCTTACATTATTATTATTTTTTTTGTCACATTTTTAGTCTTCACATTTCATTAATAATTACATCTTATTCCTGATAATGATTTTATTCGAAAATTTTGCTTAGAATACGTAACACTACAGTTCTAAAAACATGTCCTAAATGACACTTTGACAGTTCAGTTGGAGAGACGCTCGAATCCTGGTCAGTAGGAGGCACATCTCGCGTTTTAATTGGTTTGTGTGAAGAGGGGCCGGATCACAGACCCAAGGAATAGACGATAAAAAGCATGCACTAAATTCAGTTAAACAAATACTCAAATATTACAACAACTTAGAATAAGTTCAATAAAAAAAAAAACTCGTCATAACCTAGACCCAACTTCTCTACCGAACAAATGTTATCAATTTAGAGTACTTCTAATTTTGAAAAATATTTTTTTTGTTGAAAACATATATACAAAACTGATATCTTGCCCAAAGTGAGCAAGAGATATAATGCTCACCGTTGATACGTTGACACATCAACGATTTTTTATTTATTTATTTTTATTAATATTCCGTTGATGTATAAACGTGTGACCGTGAGCAATATAATCTCCTGCCATTTGTTCTGCACATGTACAAAGTCATATACATTTATTAATCTACAATATTTAAAATGGTATTAAAATTAAAAACACCTTATTATGCTATTTGAGATTTGACCTTAAAAAATTTCTTCATATGTTTGAGATTTGAACTTCACGATTGTTCACGTCTTGAACCTTTTCAAACTTTATGTAAGAAGACCTTTTTTGTTTGTTATATAAACAACAAATACAATATAACCTTTTAAATCACCCGTTACGCCTCTTCCACTGAGACTCTAGATCATCTTCACGTGATAGCAAATTAGCAAGTCAACCAAGCTCACACTTTACATCACCACCCAACGAGCCATCTACCTCCTCCATGTGATAGATAATTAGCAAGTAAATTGGGCCCCACTCTATATCCCGACCCACTTGACCATCCACCTGGTCGAGGTGGGACCATGCCGAGGTGATGAATCGCTTCGTCCAATGTACCTTGGGAGTTGGCCCTCAAGATTAGAGTTGAAGTGCCACATCCATCGCATGTGGACATCGAAAAAACTACTCTTAATTGATAGAAACCAACTATCAATGTCATTTATCTCAAGGAAATCTTTTGAACGAATATAATTATGATTGATTGATATGACATTTATGCAACAAACGTCTAAAAGCCAAGTTCTAAACCTACTTTTGAGAAAACATTAATTGCTGCATAGAATGTCTGTCAACATATGATTAATGTATTGATACTTAAAAGGAGATACATCGATCGTCAGATGAGACCACGTGTCTTTTCATCTAAAAATTAGTATTTCTACTCTATTCTTGTGCCCGTAAAATATAATTCAACTTCACACACATAAAATTAAACTTCTCTCATTTTACCTATTCTCGGCATACATGCACATTCTGTGGCTCATGTTCCTAAATGTCCCACACCCTATATCACCATCCACTACTGACTTGATCATCAGAGTGCTTACCGCCACCTCCACACATCGAAGAAGGTCATCTATGACTAACAGTTTATTCAAGAGACGAGCGTGATTAGAGTTTAGATCTGTTTCCACATTATCAGTACAAAAAGCGAAGTCAACACTTGCTCTTAGAATTAAAAACGGTCATATAAATACGTACTAATTAATGAAAAATTGTGATAAAATTAAAAATTAAGAATATAAATATAACAACAAATACAAATCAAAAACCTTTAATACAACTAAAATTGCCTTTCTGCAAATATGTTTATATAAAACTGTAGTGGAAACAGCTAAATCATTCCTTTTCATGATTGTCATGTTTCAGAATTCATACGGTTAACTTTGACATCATGTTCGAATTATCATTTTACCTATTATGTATTAGTACCTGTAGAATTCTATAAAGTACTTGCAATTCGAATTTTTTTATCGATTAATTTTTATTAGTTAATTTATTATTAAGAACATTTCACATATTCAAAATTAAGACAATCTAAAATGGTAGCAAACCAGAAGGAAATTATACAGATAGAAATCTGTTGTGTTGTACTAGTAACCAGTGGGATCAACGCTGCAGCTGTGGTTGATCACCGGAGCTTTGACGGTCAGTCTCCGGTTTTTCTATATTGCGGGCGCTGGAGAAAAGATCAACTGGTTCGGAGTCGGCAATCTTCCTTTCTTCTTGAGCTTGTTGCTCAGCGATATGGCGAGCACTGGAGAAAAGATCAACAGGTTCAGAGTCAGCAATTTTGCCGCCTTCAAGTGGGGTGCCGGCCTTGTAGCTTACTCTCAGAGCTTCATCTTCTGAAAGCTTTGCCTGTGCTTTTGCGTACTTAATATCGTCTTTACTCTTTGCCATTTTGTTGTACTTTGTTTAGTTTTTTCTTCAGCTGACATTTATAGTTCATTTACGCAGATGAGAGCGTGGCAGTTTCATTGCCATCAGAGTGACAAGTGTAATAGTATGCAATGAAACGTGGCAGCTTGTGACAATTTTGTTCACTAATAAAGTGCAAAAATCAAGTGCACGAGTTGCGTTTAATTAATAAAGTAGACTTTTTTGAGTTTGTGTTGTCAATTTCTCGAGAAATATTTACTTTCGATTACACAATTTTAAATAATTTAATTTTAACAATAAAAAGAAACATATAATTATAATTATAAATTGAAAATAAGGAAAAATAAAATAAAACTCTAAAAACAAAGAAAACATAAATACTTGAAAATTTCGGAAGAAAACGTAGTTAGAATTTAGTGATGACAAAAAATCAGCCCCAAAAAGATTGGCGGGGCCCGAACTTGTCCCGTGAAGAGGGAAAAAAAATTAAAAATAATTTTATTTCTATATAATTCACCCGTTAAAAATTTGTATTTTATTCTCTAATAATAACACTTTGAAAATCTAAAAATAAAAAAATAAAAAAGGAAAAAAAAAATTTGGGCAAAAAGTTGCTCCATCCGTGCCCCACCCCTCCCAATCTAAGGCGGGACGACGTGGAGGCGCCCTGCCCCGTTGTCATCCCTATTTGAATTCATGACTCGCTCAATAGTAATCTAATTTATGCCTCCACAAGTCAATTAACAAATTATTCAACTACGATGTTAGACCTAGTTTTCAAAGTTTAGTTAATTACCTCTATCAAGAGAAATTAATCCAAATTGATTAGTTTAACATACTATATCTTAATGTCGATTAAAACTAAAGAATTGCATTAAATCTTTGTGAAAATAGTTCAATTGGCCACCTATAGTTAGGAGTATATTTCTATCTTCTACAAGAACCTAAGATTCATATTATTTAGTCTAATATGCACAATATTTTCTAAAATAGTGTGCAAATCACTAAATATAATAAGTAATTCGCCATATAAAAGAAAATGAAATAATAACAATAGTAAAAACATATGCAAATGAATTACTTAGTATTAAAGAGCAAATATTGACATTGATAAAAGCTAGGTTAAACTACATCATAAATCCCAACATCAAGAATTTAGTCAAGGTTATATAAATAATAAAAAGGAGAATATTTCATACAATACACCACAAATGGAAGAAAATAAAGGAGTAAATTTTTAATTGGTTCTTGAAGATTGACATGGATTAAACTTGAGTGTTCCCCAAAATCTCTTCATCTTTCTCTGAGTTTTCTCCTTTTGTAGCTCTAACTCTTCTCCAAAATATCAAGAAAATGAAAGAGAAAAATGAATAAGAGAAAAAAAATGAAGGAAGAAGCCAAAACAATTTGCCCCCGAGTAACCTAGAAAATTTGTAGCCAAGTTCCCAGGTTTTGGATAAACATTTAAAACGAGTCCCGTATTTTTTTTTTTCAATTAAAAAATGGTGCCTACGAGCCAACTCTCTGCCAAAAAAAAATAATAATAATAATAAAAAATAAAATAAAAATGAATTGGATTCATTTTGCTGCTAAGTCCTCCAGATAATTGCGTGTTAGGTCCTCAACTTTGATGCTGTACAATTTGGTCTTCAAATTTTTTACTTTTATTTCAATCAAGCCCTTTATAAATTTCAGTCCAAGGTCCTTAACTTTTGGTATTTGCTCACTTTCGTGCCAACTTTACAATTTTGCTTGCTTTTGGTCCATTTTCACTTTCCTTTACCTTGCTTTATTTCCTTGGGTAATTTTTACATACTAAAGCAATAATTACATAATTTTGAGTAGAAATTCAATCTTTTAATCAATATTTAAGTTTATTTATGTATTAAATAGATGTGTAAAAACACACTTATCAACACCTCTCATGCTTAAGTTGTTGCTCGTTCCGAGCAAGATTATCTGCTAATATAATCACGCACTCGTGATAATGATGAATATATTAAATAACTTGTCAAAAATATCTCAAATTGTATAATCAATTCACAAATATGATACATATAATGTTAGCAACAATAATTTAAGCTTATACAATGTTCGATCTCTATGAGTACATAGTTACTTTCAATTATCATCTAAATTAGGAAAAAGTTGTCAAGACGGAAAAAATTTCAAACTGGCTCCAACCCGACCCTTAGTGTTTAAATATTTCCTTTTCCACTTGTAAGATTTGCACTCCTTAAATAGATGTTTCTTTTATTTACTGAAGTGTAAATCTAAAAGTTGTTCTAAAAACACTTTTCTTTTTCTCCCTCTAATTTAGTTGGGTCTAATCGACAATATCAATAATCTATCCATATAATGATTATCCACTATTGAGTGCTTCTACATTTAAGCTTATACTAGATAATTCAAACACACTAGTTATCTAAGCCAAAATATCGAATACAGTTGCACCATAAAAAAGATTTCTTTTTCAATTAAATCTCACATTTTACCTCACTTTATTAAACTTTCTTTTTGATCCCGTAGTAAGCCTTAGATCGATAACTCCCCGATATTTTAGACCAAAAGGTACTGGGTTTTGAAATATCCCTACAAACTTAGTAACTCTTGTAAAAAAGGCTACAAAGTGAGGGGCTAAAATTCAACTAGTGCAATATCATTCTTTTAAACGCAATATAACTACATGAGACTTAGATCCATAACATATGGTCATTACCTATCTTATACTTGTTAGCAAAAGACACTCTACACAAACTATTTTCAACATGAATGGAACCAAACACTTCTAGATAATATTCTTCACTGACTTGATCATCCCCAAACTTATCTCACAATATGATTAAATGAAAAAGAAGAGAATGTAGAATTGATAAACATTTAACCACAACTCACAATCTAGTTCAACCAATTCAAAAATCTCTCCATCAATCAAAAATTTTCCACATCTAAATAATAATTAATCATGACTATTATGCTCAAAGTAACTCGGAAACTCAAATTAACAAGCAAATATATATATATATATATATATATTTTCCATGTCTACATAACGATTAATCATGACTATTGTGCTCCAAGTAATTCAACGTCTTACAATGGATAAGCAATTTTTTGAAAAAATAAATAAATAAATAAATATATATATATATATATATATATATATATATATAGCATATTTGGTCATAACTCATGAATCAACAACAATTTTAAATATAAAATCATCCTAAGCCGACAAAGTTATCTAACATGTCAATACAATCCCAACAACATAAGCACAATCATCCCCAAATTTAAATCATACATTGTCCTCAACGTGTAAAGAACAAAATAAAAGGTAAGAGGAGTATTGACAAAACTTCCTTGGTTGGATATTTGGTGAAGGGGTACCTATACTTGAATTGGGCCTGTGACATTTTTTATGAACTTGTACAAGTGACCTTCTTGTATAACAATTTACCCCCATACTTGTTAGGAATCATTGATACGTGAGACGTCAAAAATTACCTATAAAGACAATGATAGCTAATCAAATAAAAATAATGAAATGCATAAAATTAAATAAAAAGATTCAATGTTAGAAAATTGGGTTGCCTTTCGAAAAGCGTTTTTTATAGTCTTTAACTCAACTTTAACAATTGAATCATGAACATCTAAAGAAAGTTTTGGATGCCTTACCCATTTTTCTTTGTTGGCTTTGTTCCACTCTTCATTTGATCTCCAAACCTCAACATTGCCCTTTTCAATGTAGTAAGAGTTTCTCATTCCATCTGATACTTACTCGTTATTGGACCTCCAAAACTCAACATTTCCCCTTTTCATATAATAGGATTAGCTTATTCCAACCAATTCAAATTTCAACTATGAAGATTTCTACATTCTCATTGGGCTTAATCACAAAATCAACAGCTTGGCAATCAACAAAGTCGGAAGAATGTAAGTTGATTCTCTCCTCATTGCTTGCCACATACTCATTTAGCTCCATTGTGATTATATATTCTCATCGGGTTGAATGATTAGTCCGCAATCAAACTTCACGGGCAATGGCAAGCCTTTCTTATTAACTCCATTGAGTGGATTATACTCCCAATTTTGAAATCCATCCCAATATCCGTAATCTCTCACAAGCATATCATCTACATCCAACTTGACAAGTTCATAGAAATACTTTGCAAATACATTCTCATTGAAAATGGAAGACCATCTCTGTAAAATTTGATGTTCTCGCCTCAATTGTCAGGTACATAATCTTCCGCGAGCATGTAACTTTCATTAAAATTTTCTAATGCTTGTTTTTGATATTTCAAATATTATCTAAATTAAAGAAATTTCAACATTGAGGCATCATGCACGAATATAAGCATAGTCTTACACAATGCATCACTTGACAAATTTAACATCTTGAACCTCCAAGCATATATCCATATTAAATGTAGAGATCAGACCTTTTAAAAACTTTGTTACTTCACCAAGATCGAAATAATGCAACTATAGTTAAAAAGTACAAGGAGATAATACCAACATAAGATACATTACAATATGAGGGTTAGCAAAAATATACAAAATAAAAGTAATTAAAAATAAATAAAAAGAAATTGTTAAAACTAAAATTAACTAAAGTAGTAATCAAAGTAAAAGCATTTCCCGTAACAACACCAAAAATTAGTTCACTAAGAAAGTGCAAATCCTAAGTGTACGGATCTCATTCAAGTAATAAAGTAGACTTTTTGAGTTAGAGTTGTCGATCCCTTTAAGGAATGCTTACTTTTAATTACATAACTTTAATTAATTTAATTCTAACAATAAAAAGAAACACCCAATCAAAATTGTGATTTAAAAATAAATACACAAACACTTGGAAATTTCAAAGAAAAATGTGGTTGGGATTCTTGGTTTTACTTAACAGCTGCCTAATTAATATCTCTATAAATCAATTAACAAATTACACAATTACAATATTAGACTTGATTTTTCAACTTTAGTTAATTACCTTTTTTAAGCGAAATTAACCCTAATTGAAT